AAACACGCCCCATAATCACAGCTCTATGGAGCAGTATCAGACTCATATTCTGACTAGAATTGAGTAGGACTACATCAGGCTAGTTTCGCTTCCCATCCAGGGAGCTTTTTCAATTCAAAATGTCAGGAATAGCATTGAGTTTGAGGTTTAAACAGTAGCCCAACAAAGACTTGTTTTTGTTTTGAAAACATGCAAATTGAAATGGACGAAGGGGTCCACCCCTTTGGGATGGTGGTGGTTTGGCTTCTTTTGTTAGCCTGCGATTCCGCATACCTGTCTAAGTCTCTGAAAGGCAATTGTTGGCCTGGCTGAAAGATAAAGTCTTCTGCTCTCCTGTACAGGGGCTGTGATGATAGCGGGAAGGTCTGCGGGATGATCGCAGCCCCAGCCCCTGTACAAACAGGAAATACGCATTGTGTAGAGCAGATTTGACCAATCAGAGGCCTCCTGTCTAGAATTTTGGAAAGGTGCAGCAGAGTGTCTGCGGAAGGGGTGGGGGCGTATCTGCATTCACTGCGACACACGCAGACGACCTGGTTTCTGAGTATAAATCAGCCTTTAGCTGGTTATACAGGTGGGAGTGGCAGCTTAACCGAATCCTGAGGTTGTAAGTTCCACACCCACTCCCACAGACTGCCACCCTGGCTCTCTGAGCAAGACCCTTAACCCCCATTGCTCCCCAGGCGCCCCACTGCTCTCCAAGCGGATAGGTTAAATGCAGAGGTAAATTTCTCCAATGTTAGATCTATAAAGTTCAATAATTATTACAATTTACTATTTCTGACACAAACGCAGGCAACAATAAACTCTGTTAAAAAGGAGGGCCAGTAACCCTAAAAGTAGGCATTTATTCTCAAAGCAGCTTCACCCAAGGTTGATGAGGAATAAATCCCTCCCCTATTAGTCCATTTTTGGATTCAGAGCCCCCTTTCTTTCAGTTTTCCCTGCGTCAGCGAGCCTCCAGCTCCCCTTCCCCTCATTAGTCACATCCCCTCAAACCACAGCAGTGCTGCCACCATGCCCCCCCTCCCTCAGACTCAAAGGCACTGTCAAAAGGAAGGCCATTTCCAGAAATCTGGGCAATCATGAGAATCAGCCAACCTTTGAAATGCTGTGAATATCAGAGATGTGGAATAATGTTAGGGTGGCTGAAAGGCCCCCAGGCGTTGGGAACACACTCTTCTTCATGAGTATTAAGAGAAGATGGAATAAAATGACTCTTCTAGAAGTCTTTTATAATTAAAACTCCCAAATTGCAAATATTTTAACATTAAAACTCTGGCTTTGGGATCCCCTGTTAAAACAAATCACTTTAAAAATCAAGTCAACAATTACAATAAATAGAATAAATGCTGATCTGGACACATCTTTTTATATAACCCATATAAACCTATATAAAAGGATGACTTTTTCACATTTAGTCACATTAACAAGTCTGATAAATCAGCATCAATAAAATAAGCTAAATCGTTAAGTAGAAAGGAAAAGTATGCATCTCTTTTTCAATCCTTTTAAGAGAAAATATTCTATCAGGCCTCATTCTGGATGCATGTTTCACACCATTCTTTGTAAAACAGTTTAAACGCATGGCTTAAAGAGTCTGGATTTAGAATGATATTCTAACTCTAAGTCTCAACAGTCATAAAAAGATTAAAATCTCCCACATATGAAGCCTCTAACAGGTTTTCTTCCAGAATTGGCCTGAATTTATGCATCTAGTTTCCAGATTAGGGCCGAGCAGTTAGTTGCATTTGCAAACCTCAATTTAACAAAACACATTTTCAAAAACAGCACAGGCACCCAATTTTAGTCCACCTAAGTAGGACAAAGACATTCCTACCTCCAGCCCTCTATGGGGCAGTAATTCAATCAATGTGGGTTTGTCACCACAGAAGAGAACAGAGTTGGAGTCTAATCCATGCATCCAAGTAGAAGGAAGCACTTTGACACAAACAGTAAAGTCCTGCTTCAAGCAAGATTATATAAAGGTTATAAAATCAATTTAACTTGGGAGTAAAACATTGACATGCTTGTACTTGGTGCAAAATCCATCTTAACTTTGACCCATTTTCTTGTCGCACCTTGAAGCAAAACTTCCAAAGCGGTCACCCTGTTTAAGGTGCGTTCATAACAGATGCATTTCGAGCGTCTCGCAGGGTTTCCATAGTCTTGAGTGACGTTTAAGCATTCAGAGCGGCGAACGTTGGGTTTGGGAAATCTGAACCTTAGCTAGCCTATAAAGCTAGCCCCACCCACCAGCGGCCAAAATAATTTTTTCCTGTGAGGGGTCTTGCGTCGATCAATGCCCCAGGCCCTAGAACTGGTGGGCCAATCACAACGCAGAGATACGTTTTGAATTTTTGGATCTAAAGCAGGCGGGGTTTTGAGTGCGCCATGACAATGCTGCACAACGCTGGAGAAAACACAACAAGGAAGATGGCAACAACTATTGATCAGTTCTCGTTTGACTCAGCTTTGGAATCAGTTTTGGAAGGATTAGACTTGGAGTTTTCATTGAAACGTGAGCAGGAAGAGGCTCTACGCTCATTCATTTTTAAGAAGGACGTATTCAGTTTTTACCGACAGGCTCTTTGTTTACACTCCCCTACCGGCTTTCTGTCTCGCTTACTACGTCACAGTCAGTCGCGCTCATTGATCAGAGCGTTGGCCAATAGGCACAGACAACAGACATGGTTTGAAAAACAACGGGTTGTTCTCATCAACAATCTTCCGATGTCTCATTCATCTGGGCCAGATTAAATTACACATTTAATCTCACATTTAGTCTGGTTTATCAGGCTACAGCTTTGCAGATGGACTCTGACCAATAACCAATCAGAAGCAGATCCAGGAGGTGCCTTGGAAGCAGACACTATTCAAGCTGTGATCTCACATTTACATCAGCAAAGATCACGCTCACTACTTTGACATCATGGCATCCTCTATTGGGGATGCTTGAGATGCATGAATACAGGTCACATACATTTGGAAATGTGAACTACAGCACAAAACTATTGGATTTCACAAAAAAAACTCAGGATTGAACACAAAGACTTGCAGACAGAATGGATTATTGTAAACTGGCTGCACAGGGGATATTTTAAGGTGGACTTTCTTGCTTAAAAACATGTTAAAATAACTTATTTTTTCCCTCCAACTCAAAGCAAATGAAGCCAAGATGCCCTCGACAGCAAAAATAAGAAACAAAACAGCTCAACAACTGAAGCATCCAGAGCCTGACTTTAAAATTAACAGCATCATCTTGGAACATTAGGTTTGTTGACACTTAAAATGCATTTGCTGTGAACGCATAGCCTGCAAAACCCTCTTATGTTTTTCAAACTCTGAAAATTTGTGTCCTTAAAGTTTTATTCCCCATAAAAACTAAAGTTGACAGTTATATTGCAGAGTTTCAGCTAAATGCAACTGATCATGATGCACTGCTATAACTAAAGAAAAGCTGCTCTGCCTTCACAATAATAAAAAAAAAAAACTGTAAACATAATGCCAAACATAAAGGATCGCATACTACAGAGACCTGCAGGGGTCGGATTTTTCAAAACTATATCCACCCCCAACCGTAGAGTTCAGCACCGAGATCCGACAAAGTCACCCGCAATGATCCCCATTTCAAAACCCGGCCGGGACCGCACAGAGCTGTAAGTAATAAAGTGCGACCTGACCAGTGATCACAAATACCCAAAAAACCCTTTTAAACCCGGCAACAATCAGCTTTTAGCGATAGTGGGAACGGCTCACTGGCACGCGTCTACCTGGGTCAAACGACTCGGCAAGCGTTTAAATCCCCTCAGCTCTGATCAGCACGCTGTGGGAACATCACTTCATCCTCTGACATGGGAGCTGGCTCGGAGCTCGTCTGCCTGGCTGTGTGTTTCCTTTTACAGTTGCTTTTTGTGTCTCTGCTTCTGTCTCCTTGAACCCCAGTCGGCCTCAGCAGATGGCCGCTCACACTGAGCCTGGTTCTGCTGGAGGTTTCTTCCTGTTAAAAGGGAGTTTTTCCTCTTCACTGTCGCTACAAGCATGCTTAGTGTGAGGGATTGTCTTCGAGTCGATGAGTCGATCCAATCAGCTGGTTTTCCTTAGATAGAAAACTTTGAATCAATTTGACTGGATGATCTAGTGAACTGTAAAGTGCCTTGAGATGACTTTTGTTGTGCTATAGAAATAAACTGAATTGAATTTCTCACTGTAGCGGGGACCATTTAGTTTAATTTCACTTCTATTTCACTGCTTTCTAAGAGGCTGTGGGGAGATCTTTAAGCTATATGGTAAAAAATGAATCAGAAAAGATCTCCTGCTGCACCTTTAAGTCTTTCTGTGAAGCTGGTCAGCATATGGCACAAACTGGTTAAAAAAAACAACAATGGTCCAGTTTGCCTACTTATTTTTTTTTAGATAAATCTAATGATTTTTTCTCTATTTGGTGAAATTCTGGTCAAGGCAGCAATCTCTCTCTACGTCCCTCAGCGCTGTCTCACAGGCTGCTGCCGCGTCCATGAAGTCAGCTAAAGCTAAAGCCCTGGACTAAAAAGCAGGACACAAGCATAGAATATAATTCTCAAACTGTTTTTTTTTTTTTTTTAACTAGTCTGTTAATCTTCGTTTCACTAAAATGAGAACTAACCGACTTCCACACAGTTTGAATCACTTGATTCAGGCAAGGTTAAAAAAAATGTTTATCATTTCATGAGGTATGGTTACAATGTGGCATTTCAAGGACATTCTAGTTACATATTCCTTATAGATTTAGCTGTAATGTGAAAAAAAATAAACCTTAAGGGATTTGAACCCCAACATAAAAGCAGTGGGTTTCTTGGCAGCAGACCAACCTGAGCACTCTTTAGTATCCGACTCCTTCACGCTCCTGACGTTTGGTGACCGGTAGCTGTGCCTGCAGGAGGGACAAAGCACTAATCAGCACCGTGTCAAGAAAACACTGGGAGACACTTGAAACACCACATGCAATGTCTACCAGATAAACCAAAATAAATCATGCAACTTTAAGCTAACTTTACAGGTGGAACATTTGAAATCCTTTAGACAGCAAATCAAAACGTAACGGCAGAAGATATGGACACACATTTGGCTCTGTTCATTTTAGCAGGCGTTGCATTAACACTACCCTAACATATTTTAATACCAAACAACTTATTATTTTTGCACATAAAATCCACTATAATATTATGTTGCTTTTTTTTCTCCCCTTCCCCTTCCTTTTACTTTTAAACCGAACCTTTTTTGTTCTCATGATTGTAAGAATATATTTTAAAAGAAAGGGTTTGGATTTACCAGCAGGTTAAACATTAAAGCAATTAAACATTTAGGGTTAAGGTTACCTTTTACAGTGGAGTTGTCTAGGTTATAAGCATCCTCTCCATTGCACTGCCATTACTCTGTACTAAAGTAGCCATTGCGCCAGCTTCATTCGTGACAATGAGGCCTAGACCTGAATGGGGGTTAATTTTCAGCTGCTATGAAAGCAAATTCTCACCGACGATTACGACCACAGGTATAAGGATTGAAAAAGTCTTATACATACCCAGGCATTCAATGCTTTAGAACTCTATACACATTAGGAAGCTATCCAGGTTATTTTAGAGGTCTTACCTCTGGCTCCTTTTTAAAAAGTATAGAAAGAGAGAGAGAGAATAAGTTGTGCTCTTTTGATAATCATTCAAGACATCATTTAGTACGGCTGAAGTCTCCAGACGGCAATACATTCATTTAGATTTAAAAAGCGCTTTTAAATAAGAAACAAAGAAAGGAGGAAAAAATAAAAAAATTAAATAAAAAACACCTACATCTGACTGGAAAAAAAAAAGAATTTTAACAGGACAGGAAACAAATAAAGCCAGTTAGATTTCATAAAAAACAGACTAAGCTTTATTGACAAATTGCTGCAAAACATCTTTTGGACAGATTTAGTAACCTATTTAGCCAAGCTTACACAAGGAGTATAATGCATTTTAATGGAGAGGGTACAGACACTAGTGGCAGAGTAAGTACAATTAGGATATTTTAAAATATGTACAAGAGTTTTGGATTGAGCTGCAGGATCCCTTCTCTACAGCAAGAGAAGACCCATGTGGAGATTTTTGTCCCAATCCTTCTTTTTTTTTTCTGGACTTTTTTGCATGCAGTTTATATAGCATCAAATCACAATGAAGACCTGAACCGGATTTAAAGAAGCCGTTTAGTGGCACAGATTTATTCATTATTTGGATTCATTTTTAGCTTTAAATTTAAAATAAAAAAATGGAGGATATAAGGACAATCCATCTCAACAGTGTCTATTAGGGCTATATTTCAAAACTCTACGCACAATAATAATGAAAACAAATGATAATCGCTGCCTGATGCTAATTTAGAACTATTTAAAAACAAACCATTAGAGATTGAATTGCACCGATTCCATTAACTTTGCTTTAGCCTTTTCTTAATTTAGCTTTTTTTTTTGTTTTTTTGGTTTTAAATGTTACATGATTAAAAGGTTAATAACAAAAAGGGTATTTTAATAAGCTATATTAACAGAATTTTGAAATGTAGCCTAAATGGGAATCTGCAACTGACCCTTAACAGGTTTCTTTATATTTAAAAACAATTAAAATTGATTCTTTAGACAATTAATTCTCGAGCCTCTAATTCTACTTAAAAGACTATTTCTCGAACATTACAAAAGTGAACAATGCAAAAAAGCCAAGACGGGAGGGAGGGGGGAGGAGAATATACAGCAGGAAAAAAGAAAAAAAAAATGTAAATGAAATCTTGTAGGGGTGCCCACGGATCCATTTTGGTCTGCTGGACAGGGGGTATGATCGGGGGGGGTGAGGGGCTTTGTGATCAAATCAAACATTTAAAAAAAAAAAGGAAAAAAAAAAAAAAACTGGTCCAATTTCCAGTTCCCAATTTGCTCTGTCGGGTAGAAGTCCAGTGAGGGGAAAAGACCGAACCAAAGACAAAACGGACAATTACTTTTGTCAGGCTTCTTAAAGCGAGAGCTGCCGTGGCAGACAGGCGGTTGTCGGGGCAACACTAAGGGTGGAGGGTCTGCTTCAGTACTGTCGGTACGGGTGCTCCCGGTACGCCGTGCTGCCACCTCTGGAGGGGGGAGGGGCTTTCCCTGGAGTTGTTCGCTGGGTGCCGTTCCAGTCGTCTTGGGCTGGACAAGACACGGAGAAAACATCACGTTAAAAACCACCGATTTAAAAATAAGCAATGCCGAGGGCAGAGTCAAAGAACATTTTTTTGCAGCCTGAAGGAAATTCTGGAAGAAAAATAATGGAGAGACTTTCAATATGATAGCTAAAGGATGGAAGAAAAGGGGAGGAGGGAAGTACAGCAAGAAAGAGACACAAAACCAGTGAAAATGTAAACTAATTTTTTTACCCAAACTTTAAAGACTTCTTAAAAAAATCATTAAACCAAAAAAAAAAAAAATGCCTGCTCTGATAGCACAGATGTTCTGGGTGAAACAAATAAATCAATAAAGTTAACTCTTACCATACGACTCATATGACTCTGTTGTTTCTCCGTGTCCGTAGTCATAATATTCTGGTTCCCTAGAAGACATAAACAGGTTCAAATATTTATATTTAATGTCCAAAGCAGCAGAGTTTAACGTCCAGGGACTTAATTTGGCTTTTACAGATAAGATCCAAGCTCAAAGTACAGAAACTGAGCCACACTTGGGGTATTTTCCAGTGATTTGAAGTGAAAATAGACGATGTGGGTTCAGAGATTTATGATTCACTTACGCCTGCGGCTGATTGTAATAGCTGTCGTACGACTCGTAGGCGGCGTCTGTGTAGCTCTCATCGTAGCCCTGCAGAGTAGTGGGTAAAGGGGCGGATGTTCAGGAATCAAGAGCGTCAAAACGTCTGAATCTGTCCTAAAGGTTTTAGAAAGCAACGAACATCCTGAACACAAACTTACGTATTCGTCGTAGCTCTCTGCTGCTGTCCCAGTGGTGTGCTGGTGAGCAGGGGGTGGTGCCATCCTCTGAGGCGGTCCGCCCGCTGGGGGTCTGGCGCGCGGTGCCACCGCCCCTCTGGCTGGGGCAGCAGGAGGCCCCCCTCTGCCGGCGGGGGCACCCCTCACCGCTCCACCTCTGGCTGGGCCTCCTCTGCTCACCCCTCCTCTGGCTGCAGCAGCGTGAGGAGGCATCCCCCTCCCCCTGGAGGACAGAATGAAGTTGAAGGAGAGAAGAATCTAATAATTTTATTCCTGTTCACTAAAAACACTCCTCCATGGTGATCACAGCCCCCTGGAGGCCACATTAAGCCCTGGGCTATTAGTAAAGGGAGCAGCCTTTACTCTTGCCTCTACAGTTAAGCACAGGTGACCTTTTATAATCAACTCTTTGCTTCTATTGGGGTTTAGTTGGTTACTAAAAATAAAGCCCAACATTCGTGTCAGCCTGCAAAACCAGAAGTATTAATTCAAAGGTGATTCAAAAAATGATAATTTGAGTTCCACAGGCGTCTAAAACCATTTTAAGATTTAAAAAAAAGTTTGACATTTAGAGAATACTGTTTATAGAATCTTTAGAAATACATTTTTATAGAAAATAACTAGTTAGAAACAAAATTAAATGGCAACATTTTACAGGTTTCAAAAGGTAGAAGTTCCAAAAAAGTGTTTAAAAAAAAAACCAACGGGCCTTGGTTCCAAACCTGAAAAACGTTTGCCTCCCCGCCAAGAAAGGTTTTTCCAAACTAAAAAAACAAGAAAGGGGGGAAAGTTCGAGGTTTTATAGGGTAGACCAAAAGCAAAGCCTTGTTTTGGCTTAGAAAACCTCTAGAAGTGTTAACCCGGGCTTACACTGTACGTGTACGAGAATTTTTCAATCGGGCCGACTTTCAGCCTGATCGTGTGTTGTGTATTGTTCGAGGGTAACGAGGGGCAATCAGCCTCTCACGACCATCTCCTTATCAGGAATCGTGAAGTCGGGAGAAAATCAAACATGTTTGATTTTCAGTCGGCCGTTGTGGGCAAATCGCTCAGTGGGCAAACAAGGATTCTTCTTCTTCCTCTCAGAGGAAGAAGAAGACATAACATTGACAGACTGTCAGCCATGTCTTTTTCCAAATACGTCATCGCCTTTTCTTTTTAGGGCTTTCAGCACAAAATTGCACAAATTGCCAAGGCAGCGGTTCACTCAAGTTAGCTTCATTTTCCTCTTCTACTGGTTTGGCTTCTGGATAGACGAGTCAGAGTAGCGCCATCTTACTGCGGAGCCGAGTCCGACATGGTTTTTAGACGTACAGTGTGAGCAGGTAGAGCGCATCAGGTCGCACAGAGTAAGAACATGCATTGTGAGCTGTGAACTCACACTGTACGAGGAAACCCTGCGGTTTCTGTAGCTGTAAAGACGTGCAACGATTGAATAAAAAGAAAAAAAATTGTACATTGTATGCCCGGCTTTACACACCAGGGTGGGAATAAAACGGTCTGAATGGCTAAAGGAAAGAGAGAAAAGAAAAAGAGATAATCCTTAGTTCCCCGCTCTCTTCATGCCCCTGTCTCTTTACCTTTGTGCTCCTGCAGGGGGGCCACCCCGGCCCCTGATAGGCATGCCCCCTCGGCCTCTGCCTCCATGCTCCTGGCCTCCGTTCAGGTAGCCCATCTCCATGAACTGCTCCTGGCAGATGTCGTCCATCATGTCCTGCAGGAACAGAAGCAGAGCAGAAACAGGGAGAAATGGTTTAATAGACTGGAGAGTGACTGTGCAAAAATCTGGAGTGGTGGGGGGGGGAGTGCCCCCCATCTAAAGCTCGGGAAGTAGGGGAAAAGCCTCCGTGTGAGTGAGTGGGGCTGTTAAGGACTGGGAGGCTTCAACACCTTCATCCACTCTGTTCTTTCCCATCATGCAGAAAACATTCATCTCATCTCTAGATATGCCCTGACACGCCTGGCGTGACTGCATCAGCAGTAACCTTATTTTATCTACAAAACAACGAGTCAGGCTGGATCAGTCAAGCGACATGTCTGAGCAGACGAGATCTGCCGTTTGAAGCTGCACTGTGGCCCGATCAGTTCTGGCTCGTCCATCAAATCCAGCCTGGAATTAGGCCTGTAGATAATAGCCTCTGATTCTGCTGCAGCAGAATGGAGGGAAAACTTTCCGCTGACTGAATCCATGGCCGCCGTTAGAAATAAGATCTGTGGATATGTTTCACAGGACGGCTGTGATCCGCTTTGGCATTCACAGCTGTAAACACAAAAAGGATGTGGGAGAACAAATCCTCTGAATACCTGAGCACCAATACTTCAAGTGTAGAGAAATGTCCCCAACACAGCCTCTTATTTTCTAGGAACAAACTGCAGCTCTGTTCCAAATGACAGGCCTGCAGATTACAAGCTTTAATTGTTGGGACAGGTGGACAGCGCTCTCCATGACAGCAATACTAATGCAGCTCAGTCATTCAGTAGCTGCTGAGGGGCCTGTTAGCCTGACTCTCTGTTGGAGCAGTAAGTCCTCGGCGGTGGAGCGGTACATCTCTGGGCTCAGACCTCGTTAAAAGAGCAGTGATGGACCCAGGAAGGCCGACCGATGGTGAACGCAGCCCTGCTTCCTTCTGTGCTACAGACTTCAATTGCGTGTTTGCTCAAGGTAAAGCCGTGCAGACACTTTGATTATTTTCAATCGTTGCACGCAGCTACAGCTCTAACTCTACAACGAAATCGCAGGGTTTCCTCGTACAGTGTGAGTTCACAGCTCACAATGCATGTTCTCACAATGTGCGACCTGACGCTCTGATGCGATCTACCTGCTCACACTGTACGTCTAAAAACCACGTCGGACTCAGCTCCGCAGTGAGATGGCGCTACTCTGACTCGTCTATCCAGAAGCCAAACCAGTAGAAGAGGAAAATGAAGCTAACTAGAGTGAAACGCTGCCTTGGCAATTAGTGCAATTTTGCGCTGAAAGCCCTAAAAAGAAAAGGAGACGACGTATTTGGACTGTCAATATAACAGAAAGAACTCCATTTCACTCACTCCACCGCCATGCTTCAGTGTTTTCATCCGAGAGAAAGAAGAAGAATCCTTGTTAGTGCACTGAGCAAGTGGCCCACAACGGCCGATTGAAAATCACTCATGTTTGATTTTCTCCCGACTTCACGATTCCTGATCGGATTGCATGCTTATTGTGACGGACTGTCTTCAATCTGGTTTAATGAGTTTTTTTAAGAAAGTCTTTAAAGTTTGGGTAAAAAAACTATCCTGTGAAGATTCATCTCCTTTTCTCTCCTTTTTTAGCCTAAACCAACCTTCAGTGCTTAGAGACTTTGTGCTGCTAGTAGGGTTGTCACGATACTAAACTTTTCAACTCGATACCGATACTAAGGAAAATATTCGATACTCGATACTATTTTCGATACCACAAGGATAAAAACAAAGACTCCAAAATTCTACATAAATATTTTCATTAATAAATAAAATACAATAAATAAACACAATAATGGTTGTATGCTGTGCACAACATTAAGCAAGCTTGATAAAAAACTTATAAAATTAAGTGTTCCTTCCTTGGCTAAGCTTTGCACACATCACAATGACACTAGCCAAACCGGTTAAAAAACAAAAATAATTCTCAGCAGCTGCACCTCTTACAAAAAAAAAAGTCTGAAACTGAAAAGTGCACAGAATTATTCAATCATAAAGTGTTCTGAAAGTACATTTTCCTCTATTCTGCACTTTAGATGAATGACCGCTTAGGTGCCACTGGTGGTAGCACTGTATCGATACTTTTAAAAACGAGTATTGTATCCGGATACAACATTTCAGTATCAATACTTTTTTGAGTTTCGATACTTTTGACAACCCTAGCTGCTAGCGGCACCTTTACAAACAGGTGGTTAAACGGGCAATTATTTTGAGTTTACTCGGTGTTAATAACAAACAGAACCCCATTAAGTTCATCCTTCATCCTCGTAGCCATTAAACAATGGAAACAATCTGTACTGGACTCTGGATTGATTCATGTTTCTGCTCTAGAAAGCCTCCACTTTGGCATTGCTTCTCTTGAAAATACTGATGAGGCTCCTCCTAAAACTGGATCCCTCTAGTGGATGGTGGCAACATTACAACAATGAAAAAATAAATCCTATGAAGCGGATGTTGATTTATCTGATGGAACAAACTTTAATTAACTATAAATTTATGTGTTTGTGATATGGACTTTATTAAAAACAATTATACATTAATATTTAACATTTCTAAAGCCTTATATTGAGTCAAATAAAAAGATGTATAAAAACAATAAGGCTGCTAAGTGATTAATCAGCCGCCTATCATGAGAGTGATGTTCCACAACCCAAGCCGCTGCGGGGGGGCTCCTTCTTGAGAAGAACAATAAGAAAATATGATTATGTTAAAATAAATGTTTAATTTCTTTAATTTCAGATCAGAACCTAGAAGCATAGAAAAAAAATCAGCTCTCCTTAGAAATATAACTTGTATAAAATGTTTCCCCCATCTGCTGAAAAAAGGACAAAATAAATAAATAGTAAAGTGTTTGCTCCTCTCTGTTTGACTCTACAAATGTTCTGTTTTTTTGTTTTTTTTTATTTTGGTTGCTGGTTATGAAGCATGATTGTTTTACAAGCTTGTTTCACGGATTCATTTTCGTTGCCCTCCAAGTTCTTGTCTCCTCTCAGAGGGGATGATTGCAATAAAAGCTTTTTTGTTTGTTTGGTTTTTTGTTTTTTTTTAAGTAAAACATTATTATGAAACTTAAGCAGGGAAATCAAATAAATTCAGTGGAAAAAAGAAAGAGACTTAAGCTATATCTCCCAGCCTTAATTCCACTTTAGTCTGGGTTTGTTAGCCTCCAATGTCTTTTTAACTAAACAGAAGAGAACTGTGGACTCACTGCTTGCCCCTTTAGCAGCAGCTGGGGGAGGGGCAGCACTCGTCAATCCAGACTTTTCGATCTTACTTTTAAAATAAACATTAGAAACCGTATTAAATCCAAATTTTACTTATTTGAAATATCAATGTGTCCAAAAGCAAAACAGCTAAGAATCATTTGCTTTAGAGGTCTTCAACGTTTTCCAGGCCAAGGACCCGCAAACTGATGGCGAGATTTGAGCGGGGACCCCCTAATTATATATATTGTATAAAATTGTATTATATCAAACTGGTCCTATAGTCACTCTAGTACAGATTTTGTCATGTAACGAAAGTAATCTCTCCCTGGGATTATTAAAGTATTTCTGATTCTGATTCCTGGTCGATGGGACAGGTGTTGTGAATGAAACGGTGCCCAGCTTGAAAGAGCTCCTGTGTGTCGCTGAATGTGTGCATTGATGACTGAAAGACATCTTCTGCCTCCATTTATCTTAAACTTTTGCCATCCCCATGGACCCCCTAGGGGTCACGAACCCCCTGTTGAAGACCTCCGATTTACTAAGTGATTAAAATCCTGTGAGATATTTGCTCTAGAGTTTAAAAGTTCAGATGCTAAAACTTGTCAAGATTGGTACTTTAGGAAAATTTATTTATTTTAAACTACCAAAAAGGAGGAAATATGGGTTAATCACAGCAGCATTGCAACTACATATTATTGTTTGATAGTATAGTCATTGCCCAATATAATCACCCTTTTTGTTCTGATCAGATACAGAATCCTTCCACCGTCTAGTCTGTTATTCTTTCACCTTTTTTTTTCCCAAAAAGATTTTTTTTTTTTTTTTTTTTACTAAATGAAATAAAATTTTAAAGTATTAAAACAAATGCTGTTAGACCTGTCCAACTAATCGATTTCATGGAAAGCCGACAGAAGAGCAGCAAACTTACAGGGAACAGGAACTTTTTGACCTCCTCCATGGCGTGCCCCATGCGCAGGTAGGCATCCGGCACGGGGGCATACACTTCGATAAACACGTGCAGCTCCATGGAAAGGTGGGCGTACTTCGGCTCGCCGCCTTTCCTCAGGTTCTCCTCCTGAGACGGAGCAACATTAGGTCAGTGTGAGAGAGCATGGGGAGGCAGTTATATGAACTATGCAAACTGTTATCACATTTTATCCACCTCAGAGGGTGGGGGGGGGAGCCTCAATGAAGCCCAATAATGAGACAGAAAGGGAAACCGATGTGTGGCGCTCAAATGGCCTTAGCATTACGTGCAGATTTCCTGCAGGTTGCTAACATCTGGTCCATTCCCTGCCTCTCTACACGTACCTTGGCTTTGTCCCTCATGGATCCTTTGCCCAGCACAGAGATCTTGGCTCCAGTCTCCTCCTGCAGACGTTTGATCGTGTTGCCCTGTGGTCCCAGAATCTTCCCCACGAAATTAAACTAACAGAGCAACAAAGCAGAGCAAAATTAGCCTGACAATCAAAGTTAAATACCAAGAGATTGAGGGAGCAATCACTGTCAGAGGTTCTCTGCTAACACACACTGCAGAGCCTTAACATTTACCAGACAGTCAATACGAGCCCCTGAGGGCGGCAGCGCTGTCAGCTGCCATCATCCCTGCACTGAGCCAGACCCTGCAATCTTTGTCTCCTCCATCCCTGAACAAAGTCTGCAGCGTGTATTACAATTATCTGCAACTGCCAACCAGGCTTTGAGGAAAGAGAAGCAACAATTTTTGGCTAAACTGAAACACAAATGTTATTCTGTAAAAGTAAAAAAAAAACAATCCACTGGACTTGGTTTCCAAGGTTTGAAGATGTTTCTCTTCCCCTCCAGGAAGCTTTCTCAATTCAAATTCTGACATTTGAATTGAGAAAGCTTCCTGGAGGGGAAGTGAAACGTCTTCAAACCTTGGAAACCAAGTCCAGTGGATTGTTTTTTTTAACTTTTACGGAATGACTATGACCTGGATGACTGAATCTTCATCAGCATGAAACACAAATGAGCTCCATCAACCTCAGCGACGCTACATTATGCAGCGAAAGTGAAGCCGTGGATCTAAAGGATGACACTCCCAAAAACAAACTAGTAATTGATATCTCTCTCTCTCATATATATATTCTTTTTTTATTATTCTTTTTTTTTAGTTATTCCCAAGTGCCTAAAGAGTCCCAATAATCGAGGGACTCGATTATTGGGACTTCTGCTGCAGCAGAATTCATTGATAGTTGTAGAGCTGAAACAATGAATCGGATTAATCCATTATTGAAATAATCATCAACTAATTTAGTAATCGATTAATCGCTAACTGTTGTATAGAGACTCTAAAACATGCCTCTAGCTGACAGACTGATACACTTAGAGCAGCACTTATACCAAAATGTTAAATATAATATATCAACATTTTGCATTCAAGATAAAAAATAAAAAAAATTCATCTGTCAATGGGCTCTATGCAGAACTCCTCAAGGGGAAAGTTTGCTGACCAGTTCAGCACTAAAATTTGAGGTTACATAGGAAGCTTGGCTTAGAGTAAACTAAAAGTGTAGAAAAACACCAGTCCTACAGGGTTCACTGTTTAAAGGTTTAGTAGCAGGGAAACAGACTGACCTTAGGGTACTGTTTGACAGGGATGAGCACTCGCTCCTTCAGTTTGATGTTCTTTACTGTGAAGAGGTCCAGGTAGGTCTCCGTCTCCTTCTTAGAATCTCCTTTCTGCACTCTGTCGATTTCTACAAAGCAGAAGAAAACCATTGATGCATTTAGATAGACTGTAATGACCTAAATATGCAGAAACACCAAAGCTGCTCTGAATGATCTGCAGAACTGATCAGAACCGGTACCGACGCTCCGACCATCCCGGAGTACCTCAAATCTTTTAGTTTACATTCTTTCACAAAGCAGAAGAAGCAGCAACCAATGAAGAAGAGTCTACAGGAAGTGGGTGAGCAGCAGCAGTGTTTTAAGTGCAGCACAGCTTTAGATTAAGAAACAACCAGTCGACTGAGTGCAACACCGACATCTGGGTCAGCAAATGCAGAGAGCCTCGTCTGGGTGTTTCTCTAAAGCAGGCGTCCCCATTAGAAGACGTTTCCCCTGCATTGGGAGCACAGATTCTGTCTCCTCCTTTAAATCATGTTTTAACAGATCACCTCTGATCTGATTTAGATACCAGGGCCAACAGCCATGGTATTACAAGCTTTCTCCCATTCTCAGCCATTTAGCTGATTTGTACGCTTTAAAATAACATCCGTGTCTGAAGCAATTTTGTTTCAGTATATGTGCACTTCTAGAGTGAGCATGGAATGGAATTGCTCAAACTCGATGTAAAAAAAAGTGAAAAAGTAAAATTTGTAAAAAAAAAAAAAAATAATAAAATAAATAATAAAATAAAATATATATATAAATAAAATAGATTCTTTAATGTGAAAAAAAAATAATATGTTTGATCTGCTGATTTGGATGGAATAATAATTTCAAACAACATATTTCTGGCTAAAAAGATGTTCTCGAGAAGAAATCCTTTGAGTTTGAAATGAAAGCCAACCTTCCAGGTAAACCTACAGGAATCTAACCACTTGTTATTTTTGTCCCCGCCTCCATGTGGCCCAGCAGTGTGCAACAATTCACCTCAAACCACCAGTTCACATCCAGCCGTGACAACTTGGGCACATGTAATGTGCAAACACATCAGTCTAACAGCTGCAAATCCAGGGAAAGCTACTGGGGATGAGGCCAGGAAAGCATCTATATCACTCTGACACTAAGTACAGACAAGTACGCTGGATTTTCTTAGATCTCATAGAACATACGTGTCCCAGTGGAACTGAAACAATAGTCTACTCAAAGTTAAAAGACCAGATTTATACCGAAAGAGGGCATTATTCCTCATTTTCAGAGTTTAAAGCTCAAAGCATCGTCATATGTCAGGATGTTTTCAGTTGATGCCCAATATGTTATCTGCCATCTATGGAGTAAATTGTGTTTCATTATTGTTGCAATAAAAGAAGCTTTATTAATGTAAGTTTGGAGGAAAAAAAATCCAATCAGAAAGTAAAGTTTAAAAGCCTTCAAGAAACAAAGTTCTCAAAATAACTTTGCTGTTCTCAGACTTTAATACAAATTATTTGCTCTTTTATTCTCTTCAAATTTTACATTTCTAATTTCTCCGTTTTAGCTTTGTGGGAATTAATTTTAAACTAAATTACTATGGAGAGAATTCTGTTCCCTTACTCTAAAAAAATATATTTTTGGGGGGGTTTTTACAGCTGTACTGGCACGTTTTTTCCAACAGTAGGCTGACAGGAAAGGGCAGAGAGGAGTAGAGACAAGGGATAAAGGACCACAGGCCGGATTCGAACCGGGGCGGTCGGCGTCGAGTACTAGCAGCAGAAACAGCTAATTTACATGCAAAGTCAACGGTTGATGCGCGTTTTGCTGCAGCAAAACATCCCATAGTGTGTTTTGAGCAGCTGAAGCAGCGTGTCGTGAGCTTCAGAAGCAGAAGTTACTGAAGCTGGAAATTTTTAACTTTTGCTGCTTGACGCGCCGCATCAACCAATCAGGGGAGCTATTCTAATGCTGGCAGGCAGCACCACTGATGCAGATTACTCCTCTGAAACAGTCAAATCAACTTAAAATGTAGAAACCTGCCAGTAAAATATGTTTGATTTTATTATTCTAGTGCCTGCAGTTTGGATTACGTGATAAACGCCTTCCAGCTGCTGCTAACACTACAGGAAAAGCGAGAAGAGGCAACCGGGCCAGAGGCTGCTCTTAAACGGGATTCCTAATGACAGCTCTCCACCGGTATCTGGGGGTCTGAGTGGCTCGGACAGAAATAATATTTGAAGGCAGGATGGTAATCTGGATGAACTGACTGCACAGATTGGTTTTTCAGGTAAACTTCCCAACTAAAAAAAAAATAAAAATACTTTTTACCCACCGACCACAGCAAATATAGCTCCCATTGTTCCAGGCAAAGAAAGGATAGAGTAGCTCCACCCAGCGCACATCAGACCTACTTTTCCACCTCGCAGCTAGAGCAGCAAAGATGCTTCAGACGCGTGTCAGAACTAAACTTGTACAAGCATCAAAATAAAGCAGCACGCATGTTTTTGCTGCTCCTGCTGCTTGCTGTCTGAACGCAGCATGGGTCGTGCTCACTAGCCACTGCACCACCTGCACGCCCCTAAAAAAGTTTGATTTCTGGACTACTTTTTTTTCCCCATAAAAATTTCCATTTACAAAATGTCTTAATTGTGCACTAAAGGTACACTAAAGGAACGAGATTAACAATTATTGCCTCTGTCTACCTTTTGAATTTCAAAATCAAAGTTGTATATTCTATAAAAATGGAAAGTGGCTCACTTAGTAAGAATTGAACCTTTTATCAAAACATAGACATCATAGTACATAGCTTGAATATACTTTTAAGGGCATTATCGGGAGTTTATTTTTGTTTGTTTTTCAAAGGGAACAATAGAGTGAGGGACTACCGTGAGGTTTCCACCACAGCAGTCCCAGATCCTCCATGGAAGAAATACCATGAACCTCCAGCTCGTTCACACCGTGAATAGGGTCTCGGGTCCCGGATTTTCTAAAAATCCGCTGCTCAATTACGAAGAGGATTAGGGCCACTGAAGAAATAAAAAACGTTAACCGATTTTTGCTTAGATAGAAAACTTTTAAAGCATTTGACTGTATGATCTGGTGAACTGAAAAGTTCATTGAGATGACATGTGTTGTGAATTGGCGCTATATAAATAAACTGAATTAAAATTTTAAACTTTGTTTCAGTATAATATGAGAAAAAACGTCTGAATTCTGACTTTAATCTCAGAATTCTGACTGAATTCAAACAGCTCATAACATGTTAGCATCAAGCCGTAGCCATTTCCGTTTTAGAGACTAAACTAGCTCTCTTGTTTTAATCACCTTCTGCTACTCTGTTAAAGAAACAGCATCACTGGGGACCCCTCTGGTACATAAAAAGTCACCTAATTCCGTAATTTTCCACCAATGTGTTACTGTTCCTCTCAAACCACTCACATCTTTGTCAGTGAAGCCGAGTGCTCCCAAATCTCTTCCTTCATGTTGCCCATCTACATTAAGATCCACAATTCTTCTGGGATTAAAGTCAGAATTCTTCTGAGATTAAAGTCAGAATTCTTCTGAGATTAAAGTCAGAATTCTTCTGGGATTAAAGTCAGAATTCTTCTGAGATTAAAGTCAGAATTCTTCTGAGATTAAAGTCAGAATTCCTCTGAGATTAAAGTCAGAATTCTTCTGAGATTAAAGTCAGAATTACTCTGAGATTATCTTCTGAGCTTTTTCCCCATATTAAACTGAAATATGTATAAAAAAAAATAAAAATCAGTTAACTTTTTTCCCAGTGGCCCTAAACAACAAAGTTTATAGCTTGTTTTTTTTTTTAAACAAGGGAAGAATTTAAGAGAGATTATTGAGCCGGATTGAGGGTCCTCCGTGGGGTTTCCCACCACAGCAGTCCCAGATCCTCTATGGTAGAAACACCATGAACCTCCAGCTCCTTCACACCGTAAATAGGGGGCCGTGTCCCGGAGTTTCCTAACATCTGCAGCTCAACCAGGCCTGCAGAAGCTCCGTGAAAACCAGCAGAAACCGGAACACCAACTGCTGGTCTGGGAGCAGTTAAAGTTGGCGAGTAGAAAGGCGGCATGAGCCTGGGATGTGTGTGACTCACATTACTAACGAGACCCAGCAGCAGCTGCGACCATTCAGCTAACCCACAGTGGGACAGTTGATTTAAATGATATATTACTTTATTGGAACAGGAAACCCCGCATTGGAACTGCGGTTATTCGGGTTTTTAGATGTAAAAGAATCACGGCGCTCTACAAGGAAACAACTATGTAAAATTTAAAAAAAGAAATAAAAAACAAAGAGAAAACAACAACAATGAAACAACAAATATTGTAACAGTTCTCTACCTGCGCTTAAAAGTTTCATGGCGTGAGTGAAAGACGAGTCCAGGCTGTCCTTCTCCGCCTGCAGTTCGGGGAGATATTTATCGTCGTTCTCCATCTTGTTCAGTTTACAGTCGGTATTACGGTAGAAGAAGGTACACAACTCCAATAAAACGACAATAAAAAAAATAATAAAGTAGTCCTTTTATGTTTCTATGTAGTGCCGAGTATCCCAATGGCGGACGGGGCTTCGCATGTGGCTTTACCGTCGGACTGCTCCGCTCCTCCTGAAGGCAGCGCGGACTGGCTGGGAATGAGAGAACAAAAGCAGCCAGGGGAGGGGATGGAGCTCCGACGGACGGAAGTGAGCTAAGATGGGCGTGGCTATCAGGTCTGGCCCCGCCTACCGTTTGTCCGCTGGAATATAAAGTAGCTTAACTTCGAGGAGTGGTGCAACTCTAGAGTGAATTTCGTTCCGTTATTGTTGCAAGCAAAGAACACATTTTGTAAACTGATATAAAAAAT